CAGTTGTCATTATGGGAGCGGCCCTGCAGAGGCCCCTTTCCCTGCCTTTCCTAGGGTCTCCAAAGAATAGCTTCACCTGGGCGAGAAAGTCCCGTGGTCCCTCTATGCCCTCTTTCCCTCTGGCTTTGGAGGAAGCTAGGCAGCAAATAGCCAGGGTGGAGAGTGGAGAAGAGAAGCTGGGGTGTAACTCTGAGTGGTATAGTGCAGCCTCAGTTTCCTCATTTGTAAAATGGAAAAAGTATCTCCTAACAAGATGGTTGCCCTCTGTGGTGTGACGTCCCCATCAACTGACATCACTGTTCAGCACTGTAGCACCTCAGGGTAGGTTGGATTCGATGACTGTTAAAGTTCCTTCAGACTGGTCCCGTAACGTCTCCGGGCCTCTGTTTTCTCATTTCTAGAAGCCCTGAGTAGGATTAGGTGATCTCTAAAGCTCTCCCTAACTCAGGGGGAGAGGGCAGCATTGCAGGAGGAGGAGGTGGTAAGAGAGCACCAGAGAGTAAGACCAAAGCACAGACTGGACCGGAAGCAGAGAGCCTCAGATGGCACAGATGCTTTCTAGGATTTTCCTGCGTCCTCACACTCCCACACACTGTCATTCTGACACTGCGGGCCAGCTCTTTTCTCTGCGGTAATTTCCTCTATCCACCTTCACAAGCTCATGTTGTGACTGAACTCTGGACCAGGAATAAGACCAAGGCTCTGTGGGAGTTGAGTATACAGTGCCCAACTGACCCCTTCCCCGCCCAGGCAAGGCCTGGAGGTGTACCTGCAGCATGCTCAGTCCTGTGCCAAGTCTGGCTGTATGAGAGCCCACGGATGAGTCCTGAGGTTTTGGAGATGGAAGGGACCCCTAAAGATTATGTAGTCCACCCCACCCCACCCCATCCCCCTCATTTTGCAGTTGGAAAAACAGGCCCAGAACAGATGACACCCAAGGTCACACAGGTTGTGGGTGGCAGAGCCATGATTGAGGGGGGAGGGGAGACTTGTCAGAGTATTCTGCCCCTTCAACAGAGCAGGCAGCCCAGAAAGGCCGCTGAGAGGGGAAGGATGGGTCTGAGGAGGAAGGTTGTTACCCAGATGCCCTGAGCATAAGCCGAAAGGGCCAAGCCCCATTGCCCCCAGGCCCTCCCCATATGTGGGACTGGCCAGTGGGAATGGGAAGACCAGGGAAGGAACAGAATGATCGGCTAACCTGTCCCCCAATGTTCTCTTTCCAGGCCTACCTAGAGTCTTTCTACAAGTTCTGCGCCTTGCTAGGGGGCACCACCGCAGATGCCATGTGTCCTATCCTGGAGGTAAGTGCCTCCCAGTCTCCCACAGCTGCCTCAGTTTGTACAAGCTCCCATTCCATGGCCAACAGGAAGCCTCCTTTCACCACCTGAGCCCTCCTTTCACTGCCCCTCTTTCCCTCCAACTCCACCCCTGAGGGAACCGTCCCACAGGGAAGGGTAGCAAGGGAGCCTGAGACTAGATAGACTGAAGCAGTCTTGTCTGGTGCTCACCAGTTTACTGTTCCACTCTCACCCCCAACGTATGTTTGTCCGTGCCAGTTTGAGGCCGACCGCAGAGCGTTCATCATTACAATCAACTCATTTGGAACTGAGCTGTCCAAGGAGGACCGAGCCAAGCTGTTCCCACATTGTGGGAAGCTCTACCCCGAGGGCCTGGCCCAGCTGGCCCGGGCTGATGACTACGAGCAGGTCAAGACTGTGGCTGACTACTACCCGGTGAGTGGGGACAGGGGAGCAGCAGCTCCCGCCAGTGCCAGGGACCCCACCTCCTCCCCTCCTCCACCCGAAGGAAAACAGTGAGATCTCTTATTTCATCACCTTTCCTGTCTTCATGTGCCACTGGGCCCCCATCACTCAAGTGCCAAGAGCCATCCCCAAGGCCTCCTCAAACCTTCACTGGCACGATCTGCCTCACCTTCCTCTTTCCTGTCTTGTAACCAGTGTCGTACCCCCCACCCCTGTCACCCTCACACATTCCCCTCCCCAGGACCACTCCCATTGTAATTTCCAGCCTAAGCATCCCCTGTCGCCCCGTTACTTCCTTGTAGGAATACAAACTGCTCTTTGAAGGGGCCGGCAGTAATCCTGGCGATAAGACCTTGGAGGACCGATTCTTTGAGCACGAGGTAAAAGGGGGTTTTCTTGGCCCAGTGGGAAGGTGCCAGCCCGGGGCTGGGAGTCTCTGTCGTCCTTGTCCTCGGCCTCTATGAGCCACCGTTGGGGGCGCCTGCCGTGGCCAGGGCGCCTGAGCTAACACACCCACTTCTGCTCTGGCAGGTGAAACTGAACAAGCTGGCTTTCCTCAACCAGTTCCACTTTGGCGTCTTCTATGCCTTTGTCAAACTCAAGGAGCAGGAGTGCCGTAACATTGTGTGGATTGCAGAGTGCATCGCCCAGCGCCACCGGGCCAAGATCGACAACTACATCCCCATCTTCTAGCTCCTTCTTCCAATCCCCCAATTACTATCCTTTGGCCACGATTCCATGAAGCCCCTTGGGGAAGGACAGTGGGGCTCCATGTGTATATGGCTCCTCATGAGCCCTTGGTACTGGGCATGCGTGTATTTGTAATGCGGTCACTGTTCTGGCCTGTTCCATATGCACTTAATGCTGATGAAGCAGGGCTCCCCCTTCTTTCCCCCCTCCCCACACTGGACTTTGTCCTCTGGAGCTATGTCAGGGCTAGAGTGGTAGGGGTCTAAGATCCTGGTATCAAAGCTGAGCCCCCACCCCCCACAAGTAGCCTCTGTAACCTCTGTGTTGTTAAACCCCTGTCCTAAGAGAGATGGATACAGGGGTACCCCTGTCCTGATGTTTACAGCTGTTCAAGGCATCTGAGAAGCATGTAGTCACTTTGGTACCCTCTCTTCCCCCCTGCTCCTGGAAAGCCAGCTTGATTGTCCCCTAGGTTCCCCACCTCCTGCCAGCCCCTTTCCTCTCAGCTGCCCCAGGGACCTATGCCTAGTGGAAGTGATATGTAGGTGTTAGAGGCAGGGGAGTACCCTGCATACTCACCCTCTCCCCAACATACACACATACATATATGCACACATCCACAGACCTTCCCCCACCAGCACGAGCCAGGGCTCTGGCTCTGGAAACTAAGGAGCCTTTCCTCTCCCTACTGCCCTCAGCCAGGAGGCTTTGGTACAGAAGTCAGGGGCTGTGTGGGCCCTCTACCAAATGGGGTATCTCTCTTCTCTCAAACTCACCCTGAGTTTTTGTGTTTCTCCTCACAATAAAGCTGCCTGTTCTGTGAGCCCGGCGTCTTGTTCCTTTCCTGTGGCACTGGGGCTGTTCCGCACTCTAAGGTTATGCTGCTAAACCAGCCCTGCCTGAGGCATGTGAGCATGTGCGCCCTCAGCCCAATGAAAGTACTCCCCTCCATCACGGTCCTTGGCTTGAGGCTCTGAGATAGCCTGTTGGACATCCCAGCCTCTTTTCTGAAGGTTTCTGAGCCCACAGGATGTAGAGGAGGGGAAGGCATCTAACCCTGAAGGGGCCTCCTTCCCTCCAGCTCAAACTAGTCTGAGATGGAGGTGCCTTATCCACCATCACACTTTCTCACATACAGACTTCCTCAGAATCAGGACCATCTAATGGTTATGGTTGTCCTGAAGCTACTGCTTATGCCTTGTGCCTATGACAACCTAGCTGGGGACCCCCATGCCTAAATCAGGAAGCTGTGAGCTAGGGATGGGGGTTAGGCCCTGCCTTTGGCCTGCAGGGCCGGTGAGGACCAGGGTTGTCAGTCACTGGCCAAGGGCAGGGACTGGAGCACCTCCCCTCTTAGGAGGTAGAGACAGGAAAGACCTGTCAGTCTGGCTTTGTCCTCCCCACCCTGAAAACACTTCACCTGGCATAGAGCTGGGCACAAAGCCCTCCCAAAAGAGCCCTGCTGCCCACAAGGAGTTGGGCACCTGAATTAAGGGCAGGGCTGATGGGGAACCATCCACGTTTTTATGGAACAGAATCAGGCCTTTGAGAACGATGGTGCCAGCGTTCATTTCTTTCCCCCACCCTTTTTTACAAGATCGACATTCCTCGTCCTCAGGGTCACATATGCCTACTCACAACGCCCTTAGTTACAGGGTCACCCCAACCAGTACTGAACACCCCAGGCACCAATTGCCCGTGTCCCAGAGCACTGGCCACGTCTGGCCAGTTACACCTGGATGGAATAGATTGAGCGTCCAGGATTCTATACTTCAGCATTATTTACCAAGTGCAGTGGTTCACAAGTGACAGGTAGTACCCAGAATGTACAGAGGGTCCAGAAGCCTTGGGCTCCTTTCTCTCCCTGCCGCACCTGAGCACTGTGACCACCATGACCACACACTCAGCACTTAACTGCCTGGCCTCAGGCCACTCTCTTAACACTGTCCCACAACAGCTGCTGCCTTTCCTGAGTGGAGTTTTCTTAACCAGAGGAAATCACAGGTCTGGGCAGATCAGTAAAAAGGACCTACTCTGTGCAGTGCCTTCTGACGACATCTTTCTTCACTGGCTCATCTGTACTGGGAAGGCTGTCCCAGGAGAGTGAAAGCTTGGGCAGATGCTAGCAGAAGGGCAGTCCTCTTGTGGCACAGTCCCAGCATGGCTAAGTGCAGAGAGGGGCTTATCCCCAAAATTGGCTTGCTGTGCTGGAGGCTTCCTAATGAATTCTCTGGGCTAGGGGAGATAGGAAAAGCCCCCCCTTCATATGGGTTACAATCTAGCAAACACATCTACATCCCCCAGTCACTGTGTTGCAAACCCCTCATCACCATCATCCCTCCTGTCAGTGTTACCCTCATAACCCTTGTCAGGATACCACCATCAAAAATGGGGGCAGCTAGGTGGGGCAATGGATAGAACATCCTTCCCTGGAATCAAGAGGACCTGGGTTCAAATCCAGCCTCAGACACTTAACTAGCTTCATGACCCTGGTCAAGTCACTTAACCCTGGTTGCCAGGAAGAAAGAAAAAGTGTACTGTGACCACTTGTAGGAGAAATAAAAATTCCAGTTTATTGGTGTACTTCAAAAGTGACAATCAGTTAGGTGGTGGGGTGATATAGAGGATACAGCTGAGCCCGCAGCTCTAAGGGAGGATTCTAATTCTTGAGCCAGCCAAGATATGGTTGGAAGTAACCCTTCAGATCCCAGCATTCCTTTCCTTTCATTGAGTTTACCAGGCAAAGCCCTTCGTCCTCCCTCCTCCCCTCCCGACAGTCCTTATGAGGGCTTGGCAGGGAAGAAGCGGTGTCTAGAGACGCCGCGTGCGTGGAAGGGGCCACGCAGCGCTAGCCAACATCTGGATTTACCCTGGGCCGGGCCCACACACTGAGTCAGCAGATCAAAGGATCTGGAGTTGGAAGGGACCTTCGAGATCATTTAATGCACACCGTCTCCTTCGTTAGAAAGAAACGGCTTGGGGGAGTAGGGGTTGGGGAGAAATGATGTCCTCAAGGTCACATGGGTAGTCAGGGGCAAAGCTGAGACTCAAACCCCGATCTTCTGACCCCCAAGTCCAGAGGTCTTTCACTTGACCCCCACTGAGTCCTGGGCAGGTGATTCCCCAGCGGGGGCCCTGGGTGGTTGTGCCCGGTTCACTGGGACGTGGTCTGGGTCTGGTTCGGGGCCGGGGGCCGCAGGGCCCGGGGCAGTGAGTGGCTGATAAAAAACTCCTGCAGGAAGCGGCGTCGCAGCCCCTCGGGCAGGTAGTAGTGAATGAAGTACATGAGGGCCAGGCCCCGGCCCGGGTAGTAGCGGCGGTGGGGCCGAGCGGCCAGCAGCGCGTCCGTGATGGCTTCCACCACGGGGCTCAGGTCGGGCACAGCCAGACGCATGCTGCGCAGAAACTGGCCGTGCGTGTGCTCGATGTAGTCCTCTCCGTAGGCCTGCAGCAGCTCCCCGGGCAGGCTGGCCACAAGCAGCCTTTTCCGCTGCTCCCAGAGGCCGGGGTCCTCCATGGGCGCTGCAGGAGCCGCAGCAGGTGATGGGGTGGTCTCGCGCACCCGACCTCCCCCACCCAAGCCCAGAGCCACCCCACCTGGAATCACGTGGAGGGAGCAGGAAGGACCTGAAAGGTCACCCAGTCCAACCCGTTCCCCAGCACAGATCCAGAGGAATATATATATATATATCCTCGAGGTCTGTGAACTCATCCGATCTGGGGCCTCTGTTTCCCTGTCTGTGAAAGGTGGGGGCGGGAGCGAGGGGGGGGCAGCCTCCGCCTGGTTGACTCTACCTGCCCCTAATCTCCCAGACTCCACCCCCAACGAATCTGACCTGCTCTCCTCCTCGGGGAGTGGACTCTGCAAGCCTAGGCCCCGCCCTCAACCTCCCAGTCCTGGGATCCGCACCTGTCTTGAAGCACCCGGGCTGGATGACGCTGACCTTCACCCCCCAGGGGAGGAGCTCGCTGCGGAAAGTGTCCATGAGCAAAGCCACTGCAGCCTTGGAGGCCCCATAGGCGGCCAGGCAAGGATACGGCATGTCTCCTGGTGGGAAGGCGCGCGTGCACACCGCCGTGAGGCTCTGGCACATCATCCTATGCTCCCCCGCCAGCTCCGGGACCCCTGGCCTGGGCATGGCCGAAGCTGTTAACCCGCCCGCCTAAGTCGCAGCGCCTAGCCCCGGTGACCCACCCTCACCTGCCGGGCTGCCCACGGTGACAATGCGGCCCCGGGAGCGACGCAGCAGCGGCAGCAGCCCTTTGGTCAGCTCCAGAGCCCCGAAGAAGTTGATCTCCATGCAGCTGCGGAAGGTGGCCACTGGGGACAGCTCCACGTCGGCCACTATGTCATTGCGGCCCGCGTTATTCACTAGTCCCCAAAGCCCTGGACCGCAGAAGAGAGGATCATGGCCAGCCCAGCCTCCGGCCCTGGGCTCTTACCCTCCCCTACCTCCCGTCCTCCTGCTCCCCAGCCCTTGGCCTCTTCCCTTCCCCACCTGGATCCTACTCCCCTTATCCTCTAGAGTCACCACGCACTCTGGATCACGCGCGCGACACACACACACAAACACACACACACACAGCATTTTCTGGACCTTCTCACCCCAAACTCTTATTGATCATATCAGAGCTCCTATTGCCTCAGTGATCACGTCTGTAGGTGACTCTCCAACTCCCTCCTGAGCTACACACACACACACACACACACACACACACACACACACACACACACACACACTCACAACATCCCATAAGCATCTCCAACTAAACTGTCCAAGACAGAATTCTTATCTTCCCCTCAAGCCCACTTCTCCTGTTTCACCATTAATTTTGCAGTCACCCAGGTTCATGACCTCCCCTCCTCCTCGCTCTCCCTCACACCCCGTATCCAATCAATCGTCTGGTGCTGTCTACTCCACCTCCTCAGCATCTCTGGAATCTGTCCCCTTCTCTGTAGTCACACTCCAGCCCTCCTAGTTCTGGTGTCCTAACCTCTCGCCTCACCTGGACTATTACAATAGCTTCCTAATTGTTCTCCTTGCTTTCCAGTCCAACCTCCACACAGCTACCAAATTAATATTCCTATAGCTTGAATCTGAGGATGTCACTCTTCTGTTCAAGAATCTTCCATGGCTCTCCATTGCCTTTAGGATCAGACACAAACTCCTCCATTTGGCATTTAAAGTCCACAGATTAGTTCTAGCCCATCTTTCCAGCCTGTCCCAAAAGTCTTAGGACAGTTTTAAGGTTTAAGAGTCTAAGGCTTTTGGAACACCCTGTATATCACTCCCCTTCGTAGACTCTACAGTTTAGCCAAATTGGCCTACTTGCTCTTCCAACTTCTTCCATTCCTTTGCAGAGGCTATTTTCCCTGCTGGAATGTTTTCCCTCTTTACCTCCAATTCTTGGAACCCAAAACTCCTTTCCAGGCTGAGTTAAAATCATTCAAGAGGCCTTCCCTGATTGCTTTAGTTGTGATAGCCCCCTCCCCCAATCACTTTGCATTTATTTTGTATATATCCTGCATTTACTCCATCTGTGAGCATACTGTACCCCCTCCCCCCAAGGAAAAGGCAAGCTCTTTGAAGGTAGGAACTGTCTCACTGTCGTGTTTGAATCCCCATCACTAAGCACAAATACCCAACATATAGTAGGTATTTCATGAATGCTGGTTGATTAATTGGTTCAACATTCCCTGATTAAGCCTGATTAAGGCTCCTCCCCTGGTGACCCCACTCCTGACACCTTCCTCTCCTCGACCTGCCCCCCCATTTTTCTTTTCTCCCAACGTCATTAAAGAGGAAGACTGACCAGAGCGGGCAGTTTGGGCCTTGGCAAGCTCCAGGGCTCGGGTGATGTCCCCAGGTTTGGTCAGATCCATCTGCAGTAGGGTCAGTCGGGAGGAGCAAGAGGCCCGAAGCTCCTGGGCCCCTCTGCCCTCTGGCTCCAATACCGTGGCCAGCACGGTAAAGCCCATGGCATCTAACCTTTTGGCTGTCTCCTTCCCGAAGCCAGAGTCACAGCCTGTGGGGCAAGGAAGGAATTATTAGCTGAAGAGGCGGAGCCAGCAAGCCTCTGGCATTCTGGGTTTGTCTATTGGTGTGGGACATATACCTCCAGCTGCCACTGGTCCCCACTCAAACCTATCTTCCAAGCAATAAAAGATAGCATTTATATAACACTCAAAGTTTTGCAAAGCACTTTACAAACATTTCATTTGATCCTCACAACCATCCTGGGAGATAGGTGCTACTATTATCCCCATTCTACAGATGGGAAAACTGAGGTAGACAGCAATGACATGACTTGCCCAAGGTCACACAGCTAGTAGGTTTCTGAGGCTGGACTTGAACTCAGGTTTTCCTGACTCCAGACCCAGTGCTTTATCCACTGAGCCTCATTGCTGCTGTGGCCAAACTCCCACAACTACCGAATTGAAATTCCTATAGCACAGATGTGACCATGTTAACTCCCCTCAAGGTGTTAGGCTCTCTGCTTGGCATTCAGAGCTCCAACATTCCTCCCTTTGCTCTTTCTTGCTGTTCCCAGTATATAGAATTCCAGCTCTCCCCTCCCTGACTTGCCTAGGTGATTGCCCCTTCTTGGAATGCCCTCTGTCCTCCCCTGGGTTTCACTGAAGGCTTGGCTCCAGGATCACTTTCCTGATACCTTTGTCTGCCCCTGTTCTCCCTCACCTCCACCAAAATCTGTTTGTTTGTTTTGTGTTGCATTTACTTATCTATGAACATGTTGGCAGCTGGTGTTCCAGTGGATAGAGTGCCAGGCCTGGAGTCAGAAAGACCTGAGTTAATATCACACTGTGTGACCCTGGACAAGTCACTTTATTGACACCTTTTTTTTTGGTCATTTTATTCCCCCGTGCCCAACATAGTGTCTGGCACACTAAGCACTTAATAAGGTCTCTTTGTTTAATCCAAAAGCAAATCAGAGCTGGAACGGACCTTAGAGATCATCTACCCCTTATTTTACAGATGAGGAAACTGAGCCACAAGGAGGGGAAAGTGTCTGGGCTGATAGTAGAACCCACTATATCTGACTTCCACCTCAGTGCTCTCACCTCTGTATAACACTGTCCTCAGGAAATAATGTCTTTCCACCAGAACCAGCCCAGTCACCCTTTCCCTTCTCCCTGTATCCAAAGGAGATCTGGGCATTATATATGCCTCATCCTTCACCTCATTAACCAGAAGCAGGGCACGATGGGCAGCAGAGAAGAAGAGGTCTTGGTGGAGAGGAAGGAAGGCACTCACTAAAAAGTCAACAAGTGATTGACTGGATCCTTCCAAGCAACCTTGCTAACACCTTCCCCTGGAGATCCTAGAGCAAAGCAAACGACTGAGACCACAGCTCTGCCCTGTGCCACCCTCTGCTCTCTCCCTACATCTCCCTCACCTTCATGTCCACGGCCAGGAAACTGGGAGACTAGAATAGAGACCTCGGGAGTCACAGGGCTGCCCCCAAACCACCAGGCCCTCCCTCATGGCACTCTCCATGGTTCCTGACCAAAGGAGCACCCACTCTTCTAAGTCCCCACTGTGTAGACCTTCCACCCCTCTCCCCAGAAGAGCCCATTCTGGTCCCAAGAACAGGCTGGTCAGGTATAAGATCCATGGTGCCCAGGGACAAAGCCTGGCCAAGCTGGGTAGTACTGAGAGCGCATACCCAAGGGCCTCTGTATATACTACACTACACACACACACACACCCCTCCTCCCCCACCAAGTGCTAGACCCCACTTCAGACTCTTGTCACCTTTGACCTGAACTTATGTAATTGCCTCCTAATTGATCTTCCTGTCCTGATATATTCAGAACAAGCTGCTAAATTATTCTCCCAGTGTCTTTTCTCCCCCAGCACCTAGGACAATGCCTGGAACAAAGATGCTTAATAAAGATGCTTGTTGAATCTTCCTAATGAACAGTTCTAATCATGGCACTCCTACTCAGAACCTTCCTGTGGTTCCCCATTGCCCAGAGGACAAAGTAGGAGTAGCTCAGCTTGCATTTAAGCTTCCTCAGTTTACTCACAATCTACTTTTTCAGTCTTCTTGCTCACTGTCCCCCCTCACGAATTCACCACCTCAGCCAGAGTTACCCTATGGAGGAGTCAGAGGAACCATGATGTCACTGGTGCTCTTCGAAAACCATGAACAAAAACAGAGAACCTGGATCTGAATCTCCACTCTGCAAATGTGGGACCAGCCAGAGTGTCCCTGGAGGAGGCACTTTTCACAGCCTCAATTTCTTCTGTCTATAAGGTGAGGTGGTTGAACCTGAGATGGTCTTTGAATTTCCTTCCCTATGGAAATTCTATGAATGACTTCTTTAGAGGCACCCAGTGTGTCCCTTTTCCCCACTCCCTGACACTCAGGGTGTCCCCGAAGCCCCTAAGCATGGGTCTTGGGTCTGGTCTCTTTGGTTCCCTGCTCTGGTCCAGCTGGTCCCGGCTGAGTCCTAAGGGGCCTCTCTGGGCCGATGTCCAGCTCGGGATTTGGCTGGGATGGAGGAAGGGAGGGAGGCGAAAGAAGGCGCAAGGACAGCCAGCAAGGAAGAGGGGGAAGGAGAGAGAGGAGGGGAGAAAAAAGAGGAGGTAGGAGGAGTGCGGATGGACATGGGGGGGTGCTCTTTAAATCTGAGAAAGGAATGTGTCCCATTTCTAGAACTCGCTCAGAGAGGTTCGGGCTGGGGGAAGAAGGGCTGGAATCAGCCCCACCTGGGGTCCTGAGAGGGTGACCCACCCCGCCCCCTTTTCCCTTCTGGCTGGGCTGAAACCTTTCAGCCTTGACCCCGCTCCCGACTTGGCCCTCTCAGTCCCGCCTCTCTCTGCCTCCCGCCACCCCAGTCTGGCCCCTCCTCCCGACCAGGCTCCGTCTGGCTCCCAGCCCCGCCCCCTCCCGTTACCTCGGGAGAACAAAGCCAGGCTGAGGGTTACCCAGAGCTTTGTCTGGGGCCCGGCTGGCGTGCGGGGCTGCCACCCCCACCCCCTGGGAACCTGCGGTTCTCCGGCGGTGACTCCACTGTGTGTGTGTGTGTGTGTGTGTGTGTGTGTGTGTGTGCGCGTGCGTGGGTGAGGTTCACGTGGGCCCGTGACTGTGGATCTGGGCACCCACACCTCTGTCCACGTGCACGTGAAGATGTGTTTGTGCGTCCATGTGTCCTGCTGTGTCTGGGTCTCAGTTCACACCTTGTCATGATATCTGTGTCCATTTGGGTACATTTCTGGCCAAGTCTTCCCATGGCCAGACACATGTTGCAGGACAACACTGTATATCTAGGTACGTGTGTACACAGGAACATAGATTTAAAACCAGAAAGGACCTAGTCCACGCCCCTCGTTTTAAAGAGAGGGGAACTGAAGGGCCCAGAGAGGTAAGTAACTTACCCAAGGTCACACAGCTGGTAAGTAGCAGAGATGAGATTCAAAGCCAGGGCCACTGACTGCCAATCCAGAGCTCTTTCCACAACACCCTTCTGCTCCATGTATGCATGTGGGCCCATGTGTCTTTGTGCACACAAGCCCGAGTGTCCCCATCCATACGCTTCTGCCCAAAAATCCATGTAGGAGTGAACATGTGTGTGTCTATGTGTCTGGGAAAGACTGCAGGCTGTCCAGGGAGAGAGGCGGAGGAACAAGGAAGGATGTGTATGGAGTAGCTCCCCTCTGGAGAGACCACTCTTCCTTCCCTGGTAGTCAGTCCCTCCTACCCAAAGGGGGAAATTGGGCCAGAGGCATCCCATGATCTCCCAGCTCATGACCTCACCCCTCAAACTGATGCCCTCTCCAAAACCCCCAAGTCCTGGCCCATTTGGCTGAGCAAAGGGGACAGATGGCATTAAATATGTCCTTGCCTGATGTTTGTGTACCTGGCTGATTGGTCTTTGATGTACAACTGAGACGCTGAAAGAGAAAATTCCTGCCAGGTTGAGGAAGCTCTGGCACCACTTCCACTTCCACCTTTAGAATGGGCAGGGGTTACCTAACTCAGGGGAGGTCTCTCTGCTCATTGATCTCATTCAGAAGCCCAGGGTAAGGGGAGATGTCCATCCAAAGAAGATAGAATCAAGAAGGGAATCTTAGAACCAAATGACGGAGCAGGGAGAAAGGACTTGTAGAAACATTCAGTCCATTCTGGTCATAAAAGAGAACTGAGGTCCAGAGCGGGGAAGTAGGATGTCAGCCTAGAGCAGCATGGACTGTCCAGATGCTGTGCCAGGGAGGACTCCTCCCATATGGACCACAGAGCTCCAGAATCCCCATCCCCAAGGCCCTCCCTTTCTCTTTGAAGCCCACATTCCCTCATTTTTGATTCCAATGAGCCAGCCTAAATCTCTCCCTGCCTCTGATACTCACTACCTAGGAACCATGGAGATAGTCAGAAATTTGGAGATGCCCAGAGCCCTCTGGGGCAGGTAGGTGGTGCCATACTGCATAGAGCCTGGGCCTGGAGTCAGGAAGACTCATCTTCATGAGTTCAAATCCAGCCTCAGACACTTACTAGCTGTGTGACCCTGGGTAAGTCACTTCACCCTGTTTGCCTCAGTTCCCTCATCTGTAAAATAAGCTGAAGAAGGTAATGGCAAACCACTCCAGTATCTTTGCCAAAAAAAACTCCAAATGGTGTCATGAAGAGTAGGACACAACTAAAAAATGACTGAATGACAACAAAGAGTCCTCTGAGCTCCTTGTTTCCCACTGACCTAAAAGGAAATTGTGTGGAAAGGATAGAGCTTCTCCATCTATAGATCTTTCTTTGGACCACAAAGTCCTTGGTATAAGGAATTCCTACTGGGAAAATCCCCTTTACTACTGCAGTTCATCAACTGTGCTCAGACTATGAATCTGAAAGTTGTCTGGCACTCTGAGAAATGTCAACAGTGTACAACACTCCTTACAGTGACCCCGTGAGGAAGGCAGCTATTATTCTCCCCAAATAGTGTCTACGGCATTACATTAAGTGTTCCAAGGTGGGTCAGCCCTAGCTTCTAGATAGAGGCATCCAAAAGTGAGGTTGGTCACCCACAGGGCCAAGTCCCCAGGAGGGGAAATGAAGGTGGAAGGAAAACTTAATCATTCCTCCCTCACCCCTTATAACCTGGGGAATATCTGGGCAGGCTAGACAGGGGCCAGAGAAAGGGGATCTAGTTTGAGGGTTGAGGGAGAGGTTCCCTCTCCACTGAGTCCTGAGCAAAGAAAAAACTAATTGTCGCAGCAAAGGGGAAATTTCTTAACTCTGCTGCCAGCCCCTGAGGTAGGGTTTCTATCCAGGAGGTTCTCAAAATAGGCTTTGGTCAACTGTGAAAGACTGGGCTACCCTGATCAAGACAATTATCCAAGGCAATTCCTATGGATCCCTGATGAAAAAACCACCATCCACCTCCAGAGAGCACTGATGAACCCTGAATGCTGGTTGAATGTATGCTTCTTTTCATTATCTTTATTTTTATTAATTTCTTTTGTTTGTGTCTTCTTTGGCAACATGGCTAATATGGAAATGTGTTTTGCACGACCTCACATGTATAACTGAAATCAAACTGTTTACCTTCTCAAGAGGGGGAGGGGTGGGAGAGAGAGAATTCGGAACTCAAAATTTTTTTAAATGATTCTTAAGGCATTTTTACATGTAATTGGGAAATATCTAATGAAATGATAAAAATAATTTTTTTGTAAAAGTAGGATGCAGGATTGGTGCTGGAGATCCCATAGGAAAGGAAGAGGGTAAGTGGGCATCAGTGGAGCTCAGTACACAGATACTAACCCCTCAGGGCTAGATCACTAGAAGCAGGCAACCCATCTAATTTTATTGGAAACCCCAGCTAAGCCAAAGTTTCTGGAGGTCAACATCTCTAGCCAAACTCATAGGACCACCTCATTCCACCAAGTCCTTCCAAATGTGCAGGCTCTTCCTCCTCGCAGCATCTTATGTCTCACTCACCTCCCTCCTCCTGCAGGCCAGAAAAAGCTGCTAGCGTCTGGTAATGTTGAGGTGGAAGGGACATCCGAAATCTTTCCTGAGTAAGTCCCTTTACTACATCCTCAAGAAGCAGTCAGCCCCTCCACTTAAGTATCTCCCTCTATAAGAAACTCACTACTTAGCAAGGCACCCTTTTAGGACTGCTCTAATCCTTAGGACCTAGAGTCCTTACCAGCATCCCTGCCTCCAGCCTCCCTACCCTCCAAATCTACTCCAGAGCACACTTTCCTTCAGTTCCATTCAATTAGCAAACATTTATTAAGTGCCTACTATGTACAAAGGCACTATGCTTGGTACTGGGGATACACACAAATTAATAATGGGCCTTGCCCTCAGGGAGCTTACATTCTATTCTCAGGACTCTGCTCAAAATCTGCTCAAAATGGCTCCCCACTGCCTAAAAGATAAAGTCCAAATCTCTTTGCCTGGCTTTCAGGGCTCTCCACATTCTGTGCCTTTTCAACCTTATCGAGTATTTCTCCCCTCCTAAACCCTCAGCCACAACCCAATCTCTGACTGCTTATTCCAGGATCATAAGATTTATGGACAGAATGGATCTTTGAAATCATCCATTGTAAGCCTTTCATTGTAGCCATTCATTCAAGAAACTGATATCCAGAGAGTATGCATTTGAACCCATCTCTGATTCTAAGCCCAATGCTCTTTCTGCTATACAACATGGCTCCTTTCTTCCCCTCACAACAGACTAAGTGTCCCCTGCCCCACTCAGGGCTGAGTCACTGAAGTGGGTACCCAGGAGGCAGAGGAGGGCAGCTGGCAGATCAGGCAGCACCTGAAGTGGTGAAGCAACCTCCTTGCCTTGGAGGTCTGAGGCCACTTGGAGAAACCCCCTCCTTTATCATTTCCCGCCCCCCCAATCCTAGCCAAGGAGACTGGATGGGGGGCACTGTGAGCTGGCTCTCCATGGTCCTTCTCACCATTCCGTGCACTGGGAGCCAGTGCCAGTCTGACAGGAAGAGGAAAAGTCCCTTGGGCCCTCTCCCCTCCCCCCTTTCGGTGTCTACCCCCACTCCCTTTTCTGTTGATAGATTTATTCCCATCTCCAAACAAAGGAAGCTCAGCTCAGCCCAGAGTCTAGGAGGCACCTGAGCCCCCTGCTCAACTTCTTCCCAGGGCCTCTGCCCAGTCCTGGCCGCAGACACTGCCCATGATGGCCCCGGGGTTGAGATACAATTCTTGCTTCTCCCACACAAATCCCTGAGCCCTCTTTCCCCACTGCTCCTTAGCCCTCACCCATGATAAGGTATCACAGAGACAACCAAGAACCCTGCAGCTGCCCTCACTCCCCTCAAGTTTGGGTACCAGCCTCCTTAGATCTAGAGTCAGACAACCTGGGTTTGAATCCCACTTTCCACCAAAAAAACTCTGGTGATCCTGAGCAAGTAATTTCCTTTCCTCATCTGTGATGCTCCAAATCCTATGAGCCGTCAGATTCAAAAGCACAGAGAAAGGAGGAGAGGTCTGTCCCGAGACACCACTAATTCTTCTGCTTCCCCCACCTTGGATTTGCCCCCTACTTCCCCCTCCCACCTCACTTTTTTTTTTAAGGCAATTGGGATCAAGTGACTTACCCAGGGTCACACAGCTAGTAAGTGTCAAGTGTTTGGTCTGAGGCAGAATTTGGACTCAGGTCCTTCTGACTTCAGGGCCAGTGCTCTATCCTCTGCACCACCTAGCTGCCCCTCCCACCTCACTTCCTAAGAAGTCTGAGCATCCTAGCAGGAGAAACAGCACCCAATCACATCCCATGATGTGAACACCACAAAAAGTGTCTTTGGCAGTCTGCGGGTCAGAGGGTGTCAGCCTGAGCTCATGCCCCATGTGCCAGGCAGGAGTAACCTCAAACGAAGAGCCCTCCTCACTCCCTCACTTGGGTCTAGCCATACACACTGATCCCTTGCCTCCTCCTCTTCTCTTCACTGAATAAAGAGGTTGGACAAACTGACTCCCAAGAGTCATCCAGCTCTACCATTCTAGGTCCTAAGGTACCTTGCAGCTATAACCCCTTCCATCTGTCCCAGCTTGACTGGAAGAGTTTCAGTTATGGACAACATCTAACAGACTCATGCCACTCCAGAAATGCCAGGAGACAGCTAAGTGATAAGTCCCTCTTGTGAGCTCAAACTATATTCAAGTAGCAGAAACCAGAGGCCAATCCCTTATTTCACAGATGAGGAAACTGAATCCCAGCAAAGGGAAGTGAGATGCTAAAGGTTATACACAGGTGGTAAACAGCAAAGGATTGACTCCAATTCCAATATTATTTCCACTAACTTAGTTTCCCCTAGTTTTCCTCATTTCTGTCAGCCTGGGAGCAATAACGGTCACATGCAACCATCTTCTGATTCATAGGACACCCCATCACCACCACCATTCTTGATCATGGGCACCACCAAATGAAGAGGTGTCACTGGCCCCATGCCCTACGAAGACCCTGAGTGTTGGGACGGCCTCCCCCCTAAGACTGAAACCAGGCCCCCCCCCCCCCCCATGGCAGTCTCGTCCACCAAACCACGGCAGAAAGCTTGATATAAAGCATTCACCATGTCTCAGCATTCCATCACTGGACAACAGGCTCTCTAACCAAAGCACCTCAATCACTGTCCAGTCCACCCTCTGCAAGTAGGGGTTTTATTCAAAGAGATCCAAGGGCACTGATTGGAGAGGAGTCTCTCCACTCCAAGGACAGAGGCAGAGCAGCTTTGGGTACCTCTGGTGAACTGTGCGCACCGGTCTAGGGAAGCATTATGATCATAGTCTTTAGACCTGACAGGGACCTCTGAGTTATCTATTTTAACCTGCTTACCTTACAAATGAGGAAACTGAGGCACAAAGAGGGGGCGTGCCTCGCCCAAGTTCACACCTACTAAAGTAACAAAGTGCAGAATTAGAACCCAGGTCTTTTCACTCCAGATTTCCAAGACACCACACTGTCTCCTCCCCCCAAGTAGTTAGTTGTTCCCCCTCCTCTTCAGGCCCCTCCGGGGACGTAGCCACTGGGCTACTGCCTGGTCTAGTGGGGAGGGGGAGGACACCCTGTGCCCCAGAGTGCCACACCCACTCCTCCACCTCCCACTCACCAGTGATGAAGACCACCTTCCCTGCCACGGGCAGCCTGGGCCGCCGAGCCAGTCGGGACAACACCAGCCAACCCACGCCGGCTACCACGGCCACCCCGGGCAGCGTGGGCAGCAGGCGGCGACACAGCCAGTCCAGCAGGGCTAGCAGCGCCAGGGACCCTAGCAGCGCGCGGCTCAGGCGCAGGTCGGAGCGGAGCATCTGGAGCAGCGCCCGGCCGGCCACCAGGAGCCACGCACAGCCGTAGGGCCAGCGCTCCATGGCCCGGGGGCGGGTCGGGTCCGGGCTGCACCGGGAAGGGGAGAGCGGAGGGGAGAGAAAGGGAGCGAGGGCGCGAGGGAGAGACGGAGAGAGAGGGAGGGAGGGAGGGAGGGAGGGAGGGAGGGAGGACCGCGGGCCAGAGGGGTCCAGCCAGGCGGCAGGACGCACTCCCTCTCTCTCTCAACTCGCCCTCGCCCGCTCCCCCGGAGCTTTATAAAGGACAGAGGGGGCGGGGCCGAGGGGCGGAGCGGCCCGGGCCACCCGACCCCCCACCCGGGCGGCCGTGGACGCCCGGGGCCGCGAGCCCGCCTCCCCTCCCCCCCCAAAGCCCCTGCGGGCGGGCCGAGCCCGGGCAGGTGCCCCCCTCCCCTTCCCCTGCCTCCCTCCCCTCCCAGCCTCGGAGCTGGTGGCCGAGCCCGCCCCCCGGCCCTGCGCCCCAGCCCGCCCGCCCGCCCGGCAGCCTCCCTCCCGCTCCCAGCCGGCCCCGCCTCCGCCTGCAGGGCTCGGCTCGGCTTTCGAAGAAGCCGGAACAAAGTTGACTGGAGGAGTTAGCTGCCCCACCGGGCCCAACCCGGCTCTGCCCGGCCCTGCCCGGTCCAGCCCGGCCCAGCCCGGCCCGAGCTGTTGGGCCGCCACTTCCCCAGAGCTCCTCGCCCTTCGCACTCCGTCTGACGCCGTGCCCGCCCGTGGGCACCTGGCGCTTCGGACTGCAGGGCGTGCAAGGCAGGAGGGATCTGTCCACAGCACCTAACATGCGGTACGCGGAGCTGGGGGACCGTGGCGCCCAGGCTCCCTGCACCACCTTTTGTATTCTGAAAGCCCCAGGGGCTGGTCAGGATGTAGCTGAGCCCAGCGCCGAGTTCTCTCCCCCATCCCCCGCTTCCTTTCCCCGGGTCTCTATACTCTCACTCTTACATACACACACGCCACGGTACGCACACTTTCACTCACCCAGTTACATACGCTCGCACACCCACAGCACTCACACACAACCTCGCTCCCTCTACTCTTCCATCTCGCTCTTCCATTATCTTTTCCTCCCTCCTTTCTTTCTTCGAGTCTGCGTCCTGTGCCTTTCCTCTTTCCTTGCGTCTTCCTTTCTCCCTTCTTTCTTCCTTCCACCCTCTTTCACTTTCCCTCTCTTCTTTTCTTTGTCTTTTCTCTCCTCTCTCCTCTCTCCTCTCTCTCCTTTCTCCTCTCCTTTCCTCTCTGTCTGTCTCTCTCCTCCTTCCTCCCCTTCCTCTTCTTTTCTTAGACAGGCACAGGTACAGACTAACATAAGCACACATATATGACCCACAGCGCCACAGCATCACACACTTGTACACACAGCTAATACACAAAAACACACTACATGCACAGTCGTGTGCACCGGCCCCACTCCAAGATTCCTGAGGAGAAGCAGGACTGTGTGGTAGGAAGGCATCCTGAGTCCTGGGATGACCCCTATTCTAAGCCCAGACACTTCTAGCTCATGCTTCTTCTCAGAGCTTGGTGCCAACCCAGGGGCCAGCCTGGGCCTGGGATCTCCCCCGAATCTGGACAATGCAGAGGAAAGGGGGAGAAAGGCAAAGTCCCTCGGACAGAACTGAACCTGATCCTGGATCTCTGCTCTCTTTAAAAAAAAGTCTGCACAGGTTGCCAAAAGCACATGCCTCCCCATATGTCCTAATATTCCTTTCAGGTTTGTGTTCTAATGTTCTTTGGACTAAAGATCTTTAAGGTCCCTTCTGACTCTGACATTCCATGCTTTGTGTTCTAAAGTGCCTTCTACTTTTGACATTAATAATAAAAATAGTTAACATGTATATAGCCATTCGAGGGTTACAAGGCACTTTCCATACATTATCTCGTTTGATGTTCTAGGGTCCCTTCTAGGATTAATATTCTATGTTCTAAGGGCCATTTCAGTTCTCACATTGCATGACTCTAGAAGGTGTCCACAGAATGAACTCCCCACTTTCCCTGATCCCCCCCTAGCCTCCTTCCCCCAATTCACAAACACACACTTAGATTGCACAGTTTTGGACTGGAAAATCTTTGGGGAGTAGGGGAGTGGCTCCTTACTCAAAAGTGGGACAAGGAGTCAATAGTCAGGACGGGATAAGAAGTGAGGGACCTCCAGACTTCCATCTTCCCCCTCCTTCCCTGACTCTTCAGATGACTCCTCCCTCAGACCTCCTCCCCTTCCTGTCACATAAAGTGGCAAAATTTGAGGGAACCTTAGAAACTTTTCATTTAGTCCTTTCCTGGCTCAGCCCCTAGTAAGGGCCTCAAGGCACCTTCCTGAGGTGAGTACCAAGAGAGGAGTGCCCCTCCCTGTAGTAAGTGATTGAGTGGAGGGAGGAGGTACCTGGACATTCCAGGACAGCCACTACCACTTTATGAACTAGGCTAGTGCCTATGTGCCTAGTACCTATGCATGGGCTCTGCACAGAAATGTGTGAAAGGGGACCACCTGGGCCACAAGCCTTGCCAGTCTGCCCTGGCCTGCTGTGCCTATTAAATTCAGGAATCCCTCTTATTTTTATAAGAGGGAAGGGAAAGGAAGAAACATTTATATGGCTCCTACTATGTGCTAGATGGGTCAGCTAGGTGGTGCAGTGGATAGAAGCACCAGACCTGGAATCAGGAAGATCTGAGTTCAGATCCTGCCTCAGAAACTAGCTGTGTGACCCTGGACAAGTCACTTATCCTCTATTTGCCTCAGTTCCTCATCTGTAAAATGGGGACACACTGGAGAAGGAAATGGCAAGTCACTCCAGTATCTTTGCCAAGAAAACCTCATAGGCAAAAGTCCATGGGGTCAGGGAGAGTCAGACATGACTGAACAACAACAACACAATAACAAACCTCCTAGATACTGTGCTAGGCACTTAAAATGATCTAATTTAATCATTACAATAACCCTAACAAGGTGGGTGCTATTATTATCCCCATTTTACAGTTAAGGAAACTGAGGCACAGAGAGGTTAATTGACTTGCCCAGGGTCACACAGCTGGGAAGTGTCTGAGGACAGATTTGAACTCAGGTCTTCTGGACTCCAGGCCCAGTGCCCTATCTATTTCACTATTTAGTTGGAAAAGAGGGTAGGGGGTGCTGGGGGAGAGTGGAAGGAAGGATGATTGATGGACTTATGGGGCATGGAGTAGTGTATGTGTGCATATCAGGCCTGGTGGGTGTGGCATGTGTTTGCCGTTCACATGCACTGTATATTGTTGGGTGTCTCAGTGTGAGTGAGTGAGTGTACTATGTCTATGGGTGAGTATAGATGCTTGTGTGTATGTTTAAGAAAACACGTTTATGTAAGTGTATAAACCTCTGCCCCATCCCCCAACATTTGTACCTCTATTTCAGAGATTGACAGCCAACAAGCTATTAAGGACACTGTTAAGTACCAGGTGTACAAAGAAATTCCCAAATCGTCCCTGCCCTCAAGGATCTTACGTTCTAATGACGTGCAAACTGCTATGTAGAAACAAGATATAGACAGTGTAAGCCAAAGATAAAGGGGGCAGGGGCTGAGAAAGGTCTCCTCGCAGAAGGTGGGATTTGAGCTCACTAAATCACCTTTACTTTTGCTGCTGTGATGGGTATAACTATCGACTGCCCTATGGCTCTCAGAATCCCTGGGCTTCCCGGTGGCTGGTTGTCTAGGCTGTAGACCCTTTCCTGGTTACCACTCCAGGCTCCCTCATACCCATCTATGTCAGCCACACCCCCTCACTCTTTTCTACTTTTTCAATGAGCTTTTTGGAAGCCTTGTCCTATGGTTAACCAACCGTCCTTCATAGAAAGCCTGTGCTCTCCCCTGGAATTGACTTTATACATATTTGGTATTTATTTATATGTGTACATGTTATTTCCCTACTAGCAGACTAGAATCTCCTTGAGTATCTCTAGCCCTAATGTCCATTATAATGTCTGGCACATAGTAGGTAACTAGTGTTTGTTGAATTGAATTGACTCTGTGTGTTTTGTGTGTGTGTGTGTGTGTAAGTTTATATGTTTGCGTCTCTCTATGCATGAATTCATGCCTGCCTACCCTTATCCATATGTGTGAGTAGGTGAATGTATTCCTATATATATAAGTATGCATATGTGTATGTGTGTATGTGTATATATGGTTGCCGTCCTTGCCCCAAGCTGGAAATACCCCCTATGCTCTCTGTTCCCATCATGGCAGAGCTCTGCCAAGGGCCTGGGCATCTGCGCCAACAAGTGTCTGCCAGGCTCTTTGCTGAGAGGATTGGGTGCAGACATGAAGAGGGGGCAGCCCTGGCAGTGCCCCCCTCCTTGGGGCACATTGGCAGCACCTAATCTGATGCAGAGCCCAGAAGATCCTCCCCCTCATTAGAGTTTACTCCTCTCTTAGCCAGAGCACTAGAGAAAAAGACAAGCCGAAAGGGCACCACTGGATGTCCCACGTCCAGGACTCTGCTGTTAATCACTTTAGCTTTTTGAGAAGGGTAAGAGGCGTCTCTCTGCTCCTGTCATGTCCCTTCCATGCTCCCCACCTCAGGGACGGCCCCAGGTTTCACCTCTCAAGTACCCAGCCCCCCTTCCTCCTGCTGGTCTAGATTCCAGGGTGCCAGGGCTCTTTGCCAGGCCCACCCGGCAGCACCTCCTCCGCTCACTCACCATGCCACCCAAGGCAACTTCCTCCCTGGCACTGTGTCCTAAGGGAAGGGGCTCCCGCCCAGAACAGAGAGAGACTGAAGCATGGGAGGAAGGGCAGGAATGAATGCTCAGGACTTGGTAGAGGCTAGGCCTCCCTTCCACATAGTTCTCTTTCCTCCTGGACACTTTCCCAACCTTACCAAGTCATATGTTAGAGGGAAGAGGGCGTGATGGGCGTATTGGAGTCCCATGCCCCAAAGTGAGGGAGACAGCATCATACACTGGCCAGAGAACTAGCTTTGTAATTAGAGGACCTAGATTCAAATTCCATTGCATATATGACCATGGACAAGTCACTGCTCCCCCCACCCCGAGCCTC